CCCCACCCCACCCACATTCACCGGGTTCCCATTAGTCCCTTGCACACATCTCTCTTCCAGCGTTTATGTCACTCTGTGAAGGCCATTCCCTCCAACTAGGCTGTCCTTTGGGCTTTCTGCCACTGCCTCTAGCAAGTTTGGGGGCCACTCTGTCTTCTTTAAGAAAAAATTCCGGCCCCGCCCCTTGCCGGCTGGCGGGGCCCGGGAGGCAGGTGGCCGTGCTGCCCGTCCCGCGGCTTTCCTCGGGGCCTTCCACTGTGACGCTCCCCCAACCCTGGACCGGGTATTTCCGGGACTTTGGGACTGAGGTTCGCCTCAGTGCAGCACTGCTCCTCCAGCACCCGTCTGAGCTGTGCGGCTCGCGGGATTTTCCGTCAGGTTTTCACGTCTGGCGCTCCCAGGACGATGGGAAAGAGGGAGTGGGCGTTCCGGCTCGGGAGGACCCCGCCCAGGTCCCGGAAGCGCCTAGTCTGGGGCAGCGGTGGCGGCGGTCGTCGTGATGGCTGCGAGGCTAGGTGGCTGACCGCCGGGATAGGAGCGGGCCCTGCACCCGAATCTCGGCGACTGCTGCTCAAGCGCGGCCTGCACCATGGCCACCTCCGCCGCCGCCTCCTCAGAGCATTTCGAGAAGCTGCACGAGATCTTCCGCGGCCTCCCGGAGTACCTACGAGGGACGCCCGAGTGGCTGCTGGGGACGGCGGGGACCGAAGAGAAGAAGTTGATCAGCGATTTTGATGAAAAGCAACAGGAAGCAAATGAAATGCTGGCAGAGATGGAAGAGGAACTACGTAATGCACCCCTATCTTTTCGTAACCCCATGATGTCCAAACTTCTAACCTACCGGAAGGACCTTGCCAAATTACACCGGGAGGTGAGAAGCACACCTTTGACAGCCACACCTGGGAGCCGAGGAGAACGAAATACAGCACATATGCTGTGGGGAATGAACATATGAATCGGCTGCAGTCTCAAAGGGCATTGCTTCTGCAAGGCACTGACAGCCTGAACCAGGCCAGCCAGAGTATTGAGCGTTCTCATCGGATTACCACAGAGACTGACCAGATTGGCTCAGAAATCATAGCGGAGGTGGGGGAGCAACGAGACCAGTTGGCAGGTACCCAGAGTAGACTGGTAAGCAAGTGAAAACTTGAGCAAAAGTCGAAAGATTCTCCGGTCAGTGTCCAGAAAGGTGATGACCAATAAGCTGCTGCTTTCCATCGTCATCTTACTGGAGCTCGCCATCCTGGGAGGCATGGTTTATTACAAATTCTTTCGCTGGCAATTGAACTTCCTTACAGAGAAGGATTTGTGGACCAGAACTTTGACCCTGTGAATGAATGATATTAGGGGCATGGAATAAACGAGTTGCTGCTGTGGGCTAACCTTTCAAGGATGCACTCTACAGCCAAACTGTGGGAGGAGGGAGGGAAGACAGAAAACCACTTAAATGTGAAGGAATATCAACAAGACCAGAATGATATACCAAGGTGCTAAATGTTATGACTTCCTTAAGTTTACATAGCACTCCAATGTATCAACATCCTGTCAACTGCAAAAAGCATATACATTTACAGTCATATTATTGGTCACTAAGATGGAGAGGAGAAACTTTACAATTATGAGAGTGTGCAAATGTTCTCATTAAGGCAATATTGACCTGGCCAACCATTTAGTATCTGTCCCCTCAAATGCCTGTGGGATGCCCATTGTGAAACACTTCAGCGCGCAGTATTTTCTAAATTCTCACACATTCTTTGCCTTCTGATTCATCTGGTGAACTGGGAGTAGGAAGTTGGTCATAGACAATGTGCTCTCCTTCCCTTGTCTGACCAAAACTTGAAGCAATCACATCCACTGCCAGCCCAGCCAGCCTTCACGTCTTCCTCTGAAGTGGCCAACTGAAGATTGACTTCAACAAGATCCAGTGCTGACAGCAACCCTGAAAGAACGAAGTATGAAAAAGACTCAGAAAATTCCCTAGCTGCTACCTTCAGTGAGGGTCCCACCTGGACAGGGAGAAGAAGCCAAGACCCTCTGGAGAACCCCGGACGGGCCCACATCTAACCAGCTCAGAATGGTCAGACATGCACAGAGTAGACAAAGATGACCAACATACAACCCCGGGCCGCCACACATGCTCAATAACACAAGAGAACTCATGTCAAGGAACAAAAAGACTCATGTCAGGGAACTAAAATCACCGGATACACATCATCAGCAGTAGCCAAGCCCATTTAAAAAGTCCATGGCCACTTCGGGACCAAGTCTTAGCCCCGCCTCATAATAAATAATCAATAGAAACTGAATAGTTAAAACTTTCTGATCCTGCCCACCGCCTTCCTCCACCCTATATGAATATGTATAAGTATAAAATGTGATTGCTCGCTGAAATCAAGGACTCAATCTGAGGTCGAAACCTCTGATTTCCCACTTGCTAGCCTGTGAAATAAACTCTTCCTCTCAAAACCAGTGTCTGAGAGATTGGCTTCTTGCACACTGGGCACGGACCCATTGGTCTGGTTTCACCACCAGGGCTCCTTCAGGTGTGAGAAGAGGGCCAGAGCTAGAGAAGTACCACTATGGGGAAGGATTATAGTCTTTTAGGAGGTGAAATGAACAAGCCTTGTGGTCAACAGATACAAGGAATAAGAGGGAAGAAGAAGGGGATTGTGGATGATAATGTAAAACTGACAATGAGAAGATAAGCAGAATGTGTGGGACAAAAAACTGGGTTTGGCCTTTGTCTCAGGTTTCAGGAAAATAACCTTTGGAATTTGCCAGCAATCAAGGTGTCTTTGTTTTTCTAAAATAGCCAGGCAACACTTAAACATGCAAATGAGTATGGATTATACAGGCCCCACCCACCAACAAAACTCAGGAAGGGAGGGGGGCATGATGCAGTCAGTCATACATATTCATTGATTAATGCATATGCATTAAGGCCCCAATGACTATTATAAGGGACCCTGGACCTTGGAGCTTCTTTTGGGGCTTCCTGAATTAACAAGAACATCCATCCACGGGAGAGTGTGGCACATCCCTGGGGACAGTAGCAGTCTCATGCTGGGAACTCTCCAGGCCTTGCCTGATGGTCTCTCTGCTTGTATCTTTTCTGGATATAATAAATGGGTAAGTATAGGTGATGGTCTCCATGAGTATTGTGAGCTGTTCTTAGAGAACTAACGAACCCACAAGGGGCAATGAGACACTGACTTACCTCAGGGTGGCAAATACAGAGAAAGGCTGCACAGGCAGGTGATGAAGGATAGAATCCTTCTAGCTTGTGCGCTAGCCCCAGGGGGCTCAGGGGAGGGGATCCAACTGGTCTCAAATACAGGAAGTTGTGCAGCTTCCTGAGCCTATGGCTAGTACCCAAAGACCTGGCCTTGGGTGACCAGGGATATTTTGACCTGGCTCAGGGTAGCTGGGGATGAAGTCTGACCTAACTCTGGGTGATTAAGGTCAGAGAGAGGAAGCTGGTGATGAGGAATGGAGCAGTGAGGAGGTGAAGTCTGAATCCACTTCCAGGTGGGAATGGGGTTCATACTGATGCTGATAAAACCATTTTGATTCCCCCTGGAATCCAGGTTTCTGGGTTCATGGAATTGAGGTGACCCACCCAGGCTATTTGCCCTTAGATTACCTTTTGAGCCTTCAGCCTTTAAGGAACTGTTTTCCTGGAGTCACCTTCTAGTCAAACAATAGCATAGTAAGCAGCTTAACAGAAAGCATTTTGCCTTAAGCATTGGGTTCTTTCAGAAAATTATCTATGTGCAACCAGAAACAGGAACTCCAACGTCTGACTACAGGATGTGTTTTAGGGTGTATGGTGTGTCTTTGGTGACTCTGTTTCTGTAAAAGACTGACCCTGAAACCCTGAGTTGTGCTTTGATATTAGCTCCTCTTATGTTCCAGCTGAATCTTATCTACTCACAATAAATATATTGTTGCACTAAAAAAAAAAAAAAAAAAAGGAATAAATAATTCTCCAGCAAATTTTGGCTAAATACCACCTGCTGAGTTTTTAATTGGTGATTCTTAATTTAAATGCAGGGCTCAAAATGGTTTTAGCATTTTAAGGATAATATATGTGACCAACTATTTTTATACTTTATAGAATCTAAACTTTTTTTTGGTATAGTTATCTACTCATTTTATGTTTAAAGATTTAACTTATTCTGTTGAGTATAATCTTGTCTTTGTTACTTTGGAAGGTAGTTTATTATTATTATTATTATTCAGCTCGTCACTACTTTTCCAGTGGTGGTCCTTTTTAGTTTTCTTTTTTTTAAAAAAAGAAGAAACACTTCCCGAACTATCTCTGCATGTACATTTCTATTCCCTCAAACATAGCACGCCTTTGTCCTTAGAACCTAGCTTGGTGTCTGTCATATTCCAAGTGCCCGATGAATGTTTGTGGAATGAATAAATGAATGAATGAGTGTATGAATATGTGGAAGACAGCTTTCATAGTGTTTCTGGCCACTCCTCCCTCCTCTGAAGCCATCATGAGGTAGAGCATATAAGATCAATTAAATTAATTCCCGTTGGCAAGTGAAAAAGAGCAAGGCAAAATGCCAAACACTAAAATAAAAAGGGAGGAAGAGCATTAGGAACGCATCTAACAAAAGTGAAGTCTCAGTTAACATTAAGCTCTCCAGTGCCTAGCCTGGGTGGGGGCCCACTGCTTTTCTGGAGTCTCCTGGAGAAGTGGGATGTGGAATGGGCATAAGAATTTACACCAGGACTTGGATTGAAGGCGTGTAGTCCTCTCTCTGGAATCCCTGGGTGGCACAAATGATTTTGTGCCCAGCTACTAACTCGGCTACCCAGAAGCACCTTGGAAGAAAGGTCTGAAGATATGCTTCTGAAAGATCACAGCCATTAAAACCCTATGGAGCACAGCTCTACTCTGCAACACATGGGGTTGCCATGAGTCAGAATGGACTCTATAGCAACCAGTTTGGGTTGTTTTTCCTTTTGGTCCTCTCTCCACCTAGGGGCCCTACAGAGGGCAGGGTCAGCCCGAGTAGTGAATGTGTCTTCCTTTCGGCAAGCACATGGGTACATTGATGAGGAGCACCTGACAGGTGCTGGTGGCCCTTTGAACTTCAACCAGAACTATGACTGCAGCAAACTGCTGTTGACCTCATTCACTGTGGAGCTTGCTCGGAGACTTCAAGGGACAGGTAACAGCCTCTGACACACTGTACTCCTCTACTACAGTTCCCTTCATTCTCGGCTCTATCTCCCAGTCTGTCACATCTCCTCCCAACATGTCCTGGCCATAAAATACTCCCAAACAGCTGTTAATTCCCTCCTTTTATCATCTGTGCATCTCAACCCTGTCTTTACATTTCCTCTAAGCCTTTTCAATTCCCCCTTACCCACAACAGCCTTCTCCTCCCAGTATCTCCTAATACCAGCACCATCCATCATATTCCTCCTAAAGTTCATCCAACACTTTAAAATACCTATCCCTTTTGACTGGCTTGGATACCACCATTGGTGTAAGTTATGGAGCACTGGTACCACCCCAAAGTCTTTGTGAGTCTTTTATTTTTGTTTATTCTATTTGTTTATTGTCGTAGTTTAAATGAAGTTTACATTTCATTTAGTTAGTCTCCCATACAAAAATTTATACATACATTGTTATGTGACTCTAATTGCTCTCCCCATACTGTGACAGCACACTCCTCCTTTCCACCTGATTTCCCATGTCCATTCAACCAGCTCCTAACCCTCTCTGCCTTCCCATCTCACCTCTGGATAGAAGCTGCCCGTTTAGTCTCTTGTATCTACTTGAGCTAAGAGGCACACTCCTCACAAGTATCACTTTATATCCCACAGTCCAGTACAATCCCTGTCTGAAGAGTTGGCCTTAGAAATTGTTTTAGTTCTGGGCTGATAGAGAATCCAGGGGCCATGCTTTCCAGGGTTCCTCCAGTCTCAGTCAGACCGTTAAGTCTGGTCTTCTTACTAGAATTTGCGTTCTGCACCCCACCTTTCTCCTGCTCCATCAGACCACCCAAAGTCTTTGGTCACCACTACCCAACAGTCCTTGTAGTACCGTTTCTTCATTGGACACAGTATAACCATACTTGACCCTTCTTTCCCACGTTCTCCTCTCGCTTTACATTACGCTTGTGTCCCACCCTCTCAGGTGTGACTGTGAATTCTGTGGAGCCAGGTATTGTGTACACGAACATCATGAGACATTTCTCTTGGATATACCGCTTCCTCTTCTGGCTCATCAGCTTCCTCACCAAGGTGAGTGGGGCAGGCGCCAGCTTGACCTGAAGAGGGTGGGGCAGGTGTCCACTTCTCAGTGTGTTCCCCAGCAGACTAAAGCCTGACTGAGGTGACACCTTTTTGTCTTCTTCCATTCCTTGTCTCCACAGGATCCCAAGCATGGTGCAATCCCAGTCCTCTATCTGGGCTTGGCAGAGGAGCTAGATGGCATTTCTGGAAAATATTTTAGCAATTCCTGTGTGATAACTCTTCCCGCTAAACCCGCTCGAGATCCTCATGTTGCTCAAAGTGTCTGGAATGCCACAGTTCGACTAACAAACCTGGACAAAATGGACTGAGCCTCTGTGAACCCCATCCTAACTAGCCACCCTCCCCCGGCTCCTAACCCTTATTCTGATTATGTCTTTTGTTTGCCAGCTCCAAGTATCAATCACCTTGTTGAGTACAGTGATCACTTTCTTCGCCTGTTGGCTTAGTGGCATGAGAGCCCAGAGTAGCCAGGGGACAGTTACAGCTTCCACTTTACTGCCAGTTCTCCAACAGAAGCATTTGTCCCTTGGGCACTAGGGTCTCCAGATGGTACCAAGTCCCAGGCTGTGATGATGGGGAGTAAAACTCCTTCCAGTGAGTATTAAGGGTACAGGTAAAAGGGCAAACTTCCAACTTCCTCTTGGTTCCCAGACTTGTGCTTCTTGACTGTGGGAGAGACAGCACCATATAGTGTCCTCTGGTTTAAGGTATATACCACATCCTGTGGGATAGCATCCCAGCTTCGCACGGTATTGTCTCCCAGCTGGTACTGTAACTGAGCCTGCAGATTGTTATTCTAACTCTGTCCTATAGGGTCACTGTAAGTAAGAATCAACTCTACTGCAGTGGGTTTTTTATATAGATGAACAAAAACCAAACCCATTGCCATCAAGTCAATTCCGACTCATAGCCACCCAGTAGGGCAGAGTAGAACTGCCCCATAGGGTTTCCAAGGCTGTAAAGCTTTACAGAAGCAGACTTCCACATCTGTCTGTTGGTGGGTTTGAGCCAACGACATTTTGTTTAGCAGCTAATTGCTTTAACCACTGTGCCACCAGTGCTTCTTCATCTATAGAAATCTATGTCAAATTTCACACACACAAAAAATCTTGTTGGAGACAAAGATGCCCTTTATCACCACTCCTATTTAACATTGTGCTGGAAGTTCTAGCTAGAGCAATAAGGCAAGAAAAAGAAATAAAGAGCATCCA